AAAAAATGGTACATAATAACAATATCGAGTAGTGGAATATTCTGCAGTGTTAACCTCTGCAAAAAATACATCTCTTAGGTAGTTGGGGTCCACCAGCAGTTCTGAAGAACAAAGATGAGCAGTCTCATTTTTCACAGCAATTTACAGTCTGAGAAACCTGGTAGAGGGTCTCTATAAACAGAAAAAGATGCAAAGGCAGGGAGACTGAGTTTATACTGATTCTCTCAAAAAAGATATGCTTGTTCTATGATTAGAAAGCTGTAACCAATATTGTCTTTTGTACTATTTTAGCTTGCATACTGTAAAATTTACCCTTTTGTGTATGCAAATAAATAATTTTTAGCATATTCACAGATCTGTACAACTATCACAATTATTATCTAATTCCAAAACATCACATCGTCCCCAAAAGAAAACTCATATCCATTAGTAGAAAATCCCCATTCCCCTTATTCTCCATCCTTAACAATTATTCAGCTGCTTTATTTCTCTGCGACTTTGCCTCAGTTTGTCATTCCATATAAACAGAATACACTGTATATAACCTTTTCCATCTGGGTTGTTTAATTTATTGTAAAGTTTTCAAGATTTACTATGGAAATAGAAGCTGCTTTCATTTAAAGCAAATAAGTACTTTCACTCAGAGACACTGCTCAAGTGTATTTTAATCTACAATATTTCTATTTATAATGGAGCTGTTGTTTGTCACTGAGGAGATTCAGACTCGGGGATCCCATTTGATAGAACAGACCTGCCTCCTAGACTGTAGTCTTTATTGAAGCAAAACACCAAATCTTTTCTTCCACAAAGTCCCTCATGAACTTAAGAAACTAACTTTTAAGTTAGCAAAAAATACACATTTTTGTTCATTTACTAGAGGAAGAATTGATGCCTTTGAGTTGTAGTGTTGGAGAACAGTACTTAATATTCCATGGACTTCCAAATGAACAAATAGATACATCTTTGGGAAAACACAGCCAGAGAAATCCTTGGAGGCAAAGATGGCAAAGCTTTGTCTCATATTTTGTTACTAGGGAAGACTATTCCTTGGAAAGGGAGATCATACTTGGAAATGTGGGGGTCAGTAAAAGAGAGGAAGAGCCCCAATAAAATGGACAGACGGACACAGTGGCTGCAGCTATAGACTCAAGTGTGGAAAAAATAATGAAGATGGCAAAGGATAAGATAGAGTTTAGGTCTGTTGTTCAGAGGGTTGGTATGAGTCATACTGGGCTTGATGGCACCTAACAACAACAATGAAAATGGGAAATGGGATTCTAGATTGCATCTATATGCTTGCAAAGGCCTTGTCCTTTTACAGTACCACACATTCTATTCTTTAATTTGAATCACTTTTTGGACACCTCATCACCAAAACCAAAAATCTTCTTGAAGCCCACTCTGAGTTCCTGGGTCCTGATAGCATACACCATGGGGTTAAGGGCTGGGGGAATGACATTGTGCAGTACATTCAGGAGAACGGGGATGAGAGGAAACCTTCTCCCTGCTAAGTGGGTGAGAGATAGAACAATGATGGCAGAATAGAAAAAGAGAATGAGGATGAGGTGGGAGCTACAGGTACTTAGGGCCTTTGCTGTTGCTTTGGAAGATTTCAGCTTCAGCACTGAGCAAAGAATCAAAGCATAGGAAACAAAGACCAGACCCATGTCACTCCCAGCCACAACCCAGGCAAGAGCCAACTGGTAGAACCTGTTAATAGTAATATCATCACAGGCCAAACTGATGACTCCCAAGTTAGAGCAGAGGCAGTGTTCAATCTCCTTCCTGGAGCAGTAGTGTCGCTGGGAAGCCAGGACAGCCACTGGGATTGT